TTCCCTACAGAGTTAGACTGCTGCTTTGAAGAAGGAGGGCTATTTCCCTGCTGAAACATGCTCTTAAGCCTTCCTGTAGTGCATTCTCCACATATACATCATTGAAAAACATATTCTAAAAAATAATGTGACACTCATGCAGAAAAGAAGAAAGAAACTTGTTTTATTCTTGGGACACTGAAGTCTTGTTACAGCATCTCACTGCATTCCCCCTGACTGTTTTTGCCTGCACAAGGATGGATTTTAACAGGATAGGGCACCAGATACAGACCAGGAGACCATCATGGGAGGTAAGTAACCATTTACAATGAGTCAGAGCACATGGCAAGTGTAACTCAGATAGGGATTTTCCAGGGGCCAGTCCGCCCGGCCAGGTGATCTTGTTTCCTAGAAAAGGCACTTCCGGGACCGGAGTTGATACAGGAGATGGAGGCAGCAGGAGGAAGTACTGGGAGAGAGGGAGGGAGATGCTTCCCAATTTAACCCATTACATGTCATGATGGGGCGGCGGTGAGAACGGGCAGGTTATTTTCAGTGTATCAGAAGAAGCAGCAAAGGCCACCTGCAGGCCTGTGCATCGACCAAGGCTGGCACAGAGCTCCAACACCCATGGAAAGGGCTGCCAGGGCTATGGCCAGCCACGGTTGCAGGAAGGAGCAGCGTGGTGGGCATGGCCCACCTGGAGACTGGTGCAGGAGGCAAGGGGATGGGAAGGGGGAAGGCAAACTGAGTGAACTCATTCTGTCCATTCCTTCTTGATGGACAGGTTCCACTCCCAGGTGAGATGGTCGTGCTTGTCATCATCCGTGAAGAAGGACTTGTTGTGATAGGTGCCTCGAGCCAGCATACCCTTAGGAGCCTCCTCAACAGGCGTCAGGAACTCATACTCCTCTGGCCGTGGCCCGTAGCTGCCAACCATGAACGTGGCTTTGTCCACTAAGAGAAAACAATCCACAGGAATGAGCCCCTCAGGTGGGGAACAATGAAAGAGAGAAAAAGGCACAAGCACAGATCACAGACAGAAAGGAGACAGCAGGGAGAGAAAGGGACAGTCCATGTCAGCAGCGGGAACAGAATCAGGGGAAAAAGTGGGATAGTGAAGCACAAGGATTGTGACTCAGAACAACTCGGGTTCTGCACCCAGCCGGAAGCTTCATAGAGCAGCTCTGAATTTTACCAAGTGCATCTGGGAGAGCTTTCAGGGGGTGGGAAGCTCCACACAGGCTGAGCCACTCTAGAGGGGGCAGAAGGGAGGTGAAGAGCTCTGTATGGAGAGGAAATCTGTGGCAAGCACTGTCTAAACAGTGTCTCTAGGGACCTTGCTGCTGCAGACAGTGGTGTAGCATACAGATACCAGAACTGGCTCATACTGAGTTCACACAGGCACAGGAAACAGTTGGCCGGGGTGATGCAGAGTGCAGGCTACTGCACCCTGCTGAGAAGTCTCATCTCCCATGTGGTGGCGTGAGAGGGGCCTTGGGACCAGGCGAGACTCTGTCCCAGCCCAGAGCTGCAGCAACACTTCTGTAAGCAGAGGGAACACAGGGGTAGGAGCACTGGTGTGCAGGGCACAAAGGGCTCTTACTCACCCTTCACCCCTGTCCGGTAGGTGTGTTGCACATATTTCAGTCCCGACACAATGTCCCTGTTTACCTGCAAGAAGTGACCAGAAGCAAGTGTCAAGGGAAAGATTTTGGCTCTGAATCTGCTGGTTTTCTCTCTCCTTAGAGACATACCCATCTTGGCTACCTACACCACCGCTCCCAAAGGCTCAGCACAGGACACATTGCGGGGAGTCCTAACATGACTTCTCCACAGGCACCTGGAGACCTACAGCATCCTCTGTGCATCTCCTGCACTTCCCCATCCTTTCCCTGACTCTGAAGCTGACTGGAGCACATCAGTCAGCTTCACAAGACGGGCTGATGAAGACAAAGAAAGTGAAGCAGGGAGTTCCCAGTTAATAATTTCCATACCGTCCCCAGACGTGGGTGACGAGTCAACCCTCCAGCACAAATGGGTGGACAAGATTAGTTGAACACTCCCAGCTGCCCTCTAAGCTCCATGAGGAGCTTGCAAGTTTCTCCTCAAGAGACAGGAGGACGGAGTTTTGTTCATAATGTTTCCTCAAATCTCCCATGGATAGCCTGGATGTATGCCTTGCTGTCCCACTCCAGCATACACTGCCTGCTCACAGCACTGGTCAATATGGAAACAAGACAGGCAAGAACCTTCTACATCCCAGGGGAGAAATCACATGGTGCCAGCTCTTATCAGCCTTGGGACTGAGGGAGGGAGTTAGAATAACTTGTCTCGCTCCAGGCATCTCCTGTCAACAGGGCTCAGATACAGATGTAAATATTTCATAGCACAAAGGACAGCTGGAGGTGTCTCTGGGGACAAAGCCATCTCAGAGACCAAGCCTCACAGAAGAAGGGAAATCTTTCCTACAGAACCCACAACATTAACACTTTCCCTTGTCCGATTCAGGAGAGTTATCCTCCTTCCCTTTTTGCCTTCTCTGCCAAGCCCAGCTTTGTCTGCAGCAAATGTTTGTGGAGACGATGACTTCAGCATTGGATGCCACACTGCAGTGTAGCCAAGTTTCATTTTCAGCTGGAAACAGCAGAAATGGCTGACACACTGTTTAATGGGAGAGGAGGAGAGATGAGTCTGTTTGAGTATATTGTGACTCAGAACAACTCGGGTACCTTCAGCCAAATGCTATGGTATTCAATCTTTTTCATGCACACATGAAGCCCAGCAATGCCACCTGAACCAGTACTTCACAGAAAGCCATCATCTCTACTCCTCCCTGTCCATTTCCACTTTGTGTGAAGTAAAGATTTCCTGGTGGCTAAAAATCCAAGCAAAACTCAGCTAAATCTACCCATCTGGCTTCCAAACTGCCTGCTGTTCACCATTGTGAGTGGACAGAAAGCAACTTCTTCCAAGGCACAAGCAAGCAGAAGCAATTCCCTGGAAATGCCCAGTCCCTTGCTGCGTAGAACAACACCTGAAGCTAGGGGAGCTTTACAAGTGCCCAGCTTTTGGGCAGACATGCTGCCCAGCTCTAGTTATCTGACAGACTGACATAGACTGGCCTCAGCAACTGATGAGAAGCAACAGGAAGAAACAACTTACTTTGAAGTGGATCTTAACTCTGTATTCCACTCCTTCCTTTAATACGAAGGTCTCTTTCTTGAGTGCTTCAAGCTCACCTGTAAGGAAAGGATCAAGACATCAGCTAGAGGTGATACAGCAAGACGAGACCACATGCTGTGGGATAGGGCTGGGATTGGTGTCAGAGATGAGCATCACTTTGCAGGATGGCACACCTGCAAAACGAGTACACAGAGGTCTGTATAAGCAACTGCACTGCAAGAGCACAGAAACGCCTGGGTGTATGCATGTGTCTGTGTCCCCATCTATGAAGACAGTGCCTAAACAAACACAGGTCTAGGCACACATACACAAAGATATTTATGCACAGGCCCGTTGTTAGACATCTGCAGGAGCCTACGCATGCTTCATCCATGCCCAGCCCTGGCTCGGGTGAGCGGAGCATGTTCCGCAGCTCCTGCCTGGCTTGCAAGGCTGCCCGGGCTCTGCAGGGCTCTGTGTGGTTTCGGTCGAACAGGAAGCCTCTCTGCTCCTCCGGGCCCAGCTTCCTCTCTCTGCAGAAAAGCCCATATAAGGTGAAGCCTGGTTCTCTCCCCATGTCCCCAGGAGCCGGAACTGCAGTATTGCTTGATTCTGAAGTTTCAAAACAGCTCGTTACCCAAACACATGCACATCCCTTGTGCTTGTGAGGTCTCATTGAAAAGAAGCAAGCAGAGAAGACAGGAGAAACCCAGGAGCTCCTAGACCCTTGACACTCTCAATAACATCTCCTTTTCTTTTTT